TATATATATATACCATACATGTACTTATGTATATACCATATTAGTCTTTCGAACTGCACGCCGAATTATTTTTCCGGATTATAAACGCAATTAAACTACTTTAGTAATCGCAAATTAAATTGATTAAAATTGAAAGCAATTTTAATAATTTGATGCTACAATCAGGCATCATATCATAAAGATATTATATGTTGTAAAACTGTTAATAAATTTGTTAATATATTTATAATATGTTAATAAATTTAGAAATATATAATATATAGTACAAGCGATAATATGTAGTCAATCAGACTGGTTAATTAACGCAATTCTTAATATTAAATATATAAATCTTGACTATGGGCGTTTCCATTCATGATTTGAGTCAGCAATCTTTCTGCCCTAACGCAACTTTGAATTATTACATTACAAATTAAATCTCCAATGTTTTTCCTCTCAAAAAATGGAACCACTAACTGTTGCGAGGTAAGTCACAAAGTTTGACAGCTGAGCGACAATGAGAACTCAAGCTAAAATTATATAAATGATTAAAATATTATATGTATAAGATTTGAAAATTATCATCTCATTTCACATAGTGATGCCTCAACAACTTAAACAATAAATATGTCATATGCAATATTTTGTACATTGTTAATAAATTAAAAATTATCGTCAAAATTTTAAAACATTAATTGAGAGAACTATTTGTGTCTTGCAATTTATGTAATCACCGAATGAGTGGATGTTTGACTATGCTTTCGGTATTCAAAAAGTCTGGTTTTTAATTTCCTCTCTCCATTGTCCTATATAGGAAGCATCGCAATCACAACAATTGATCTTGTAGACTATATTCCTTTTTAAATCATCATTTAAAGAGTCTTTATGATCCTTAATAAATTGATTCAACTTGTTCAAATTGAAGAAAGAAACTCTATGACAAATCCCATTATAATACACTCAGCTTTCAAACTTTGTGAGTATGTGACTTATCTCATAACAGTTAGCGGTTCAATTTTTTAAGAGGAGATTTAATTTGTAATACAATAATCCATTAGGGGGAAAGATTGCTAATAAGACTCAAATCATGAGTGGAAACGTTCAAAGTCAAGGTTTATATATTTAATATTAAGAATTGCGCTAATTGATAACCAGTTGATTCCTATCACCTGTACTATATATTATATATTTCTAAATTTGTTCAATTAAAGGAATCTAGGATAAACTTATTAGTTTAGTGTTATTTTATAATTTTTCATTAATAAATTTATTACATATTAACATCTTTATAATATGACGCCTAATTGTAGCAAATTATTAAAATTGCTTGTCGATTTAATTAGCGATTACTAGAGTAGTTTAATTGCGTTTATAGTTCGGAAAAACAATTCGGCGTGCAGTTGAAAGACTACAATACACAGAGTAAGACAAGTGAATCTCAGAAACTAAAAGAGATACAAGAAAAAGTTTTATATGAAAGTTTTATATGAAAGGTTTTCTTGAGGGAAAGTAGGTGAAAATAATAGATTTTGGATATACTACCAAGGGCATACTACCAAGGTCAGGTTAACATAAATTTTTTAAATAGAACCTCCTTTTTTATTGCATATTTTTGTAGCATATCTCAAGAGCTTTTCAAAACATTATAATAAAATATTTTTTCATGAAGTAACTCTTCGAGTTATAAGGCTTGAAAGTTATAGTATCGCCGGCGTGAACATTACGCAAGGTGTCCGACCGATGGCTAAAACCTCTTGAATGTTGTTCAGAATCATGTCCTATATAATATTTGTTAAGATCAAGTTCATTGGAGATTATTTCTTTTATTTTCATTTTTTCATTAAAAATTATTTCTATGTAAAAATTAAAATAAGAGGTATAACTTCCAATGACCTTGATCTTGGCAAATGTTATCCAGATCATAATCCTGAACAATATTCAAATGATTTTAACAGTTGATTGGACATCTTGGATAATTCTAATGCCGGCAGTACTGTAATTTGCAAGCCTTATAATTCGAAAAGTATTTAATGAAAATGAACTAAATTATAGTATTTTGAAAAATTCTTGAAATGATCTACAAAAACGTGCAATAAAAGGTAAGAGGTTCGATTTAAGAAATTTAAGGACACCTTTACGTGACTTTCAAGCAATTCAAGATTAAACTAATGACACCTTATATTCTCCTTAAAGCCAAAGAACTTTTACTAAAACATTTTTTTTCTAAGATAAAAAATAAAAAAGTTATTTGGAGTGGGACATTAAAATAAGACATCCTATATAAATGAATGTATATAAATTAGAAGTGTGCTATAAGAATATGCAATAAAAAATGGAGGATTCCATTTAAAAAATTCATGTTGACCTTGGTAGTGCCCCCCCCCCTATCCAAAATCCACCTTCTTTCCCTCAAAAAAACCTATAACTTTCATATAAAACTTTTTCTTGTATCTGTCTTAGTTTCTGAGATATTTATTTAGGACGAATAAAATGCTCCACCCTGTATATGCAAGTACATATATGATATCTTTATATGTTTATATTGTATATACAGGGTGAAAAAAAATAGTAATATAATTCTATACTAAATGTTTTAAAAATAACATTTTTAATACATTTCAAATATTATGAGATGGATATCTAATGCAAATTTAAGAGTTACACATATTCATAAATATTATTAAAAACATATTATATTACATTATATGAAGTTATTAAACTGTAAGATACATATAAAATTTTCAGTAAAATTTGTTGAGACAAATTGTGATACTTAGTATATACTTTTCAGCACTTATTTCATCTTCTCCGATGATAAACTCTTCAGAAACAAACACACGAAGAAAAAGATCGTGGTCTAGAGCAGTTTTTAGTTCTCTACAACGAAAAGGTTTGGAAAGAAGATTCTCTCTACAAAAATACATTACAAAACCAGACAGACGACAATTGGCAGCGACTTTAGGTCTAACCGATGCACAGGTTATATGATTTAAATAAAATCTGACATGTCAATTTTTGTAACCTGTAAAATAAAAAAATTGTGATATTTTTTATTTCATAAAGGAAACAATTTAAAAGAAATTTAAAAAAAATAATATCAACAATACAATTCTTTTTAACTAAAATTTTTTATATTATTAGGTTAAAGTTTGGTTTCAAAATCGTCGGATGAAGTGGCGACATACAAGAGAGAGTGAAAATGTTACATTTGCTGGTCCAGATTCCACACAAAAAGATTTTCCGCAAAAATTAATTAAATCTATTACCAATGATATAACACAAAAAAACGAAGAAGATATAGAAATCGATTAAATTCGATTTATGATTAGATTTATGAAATTTCCACAAATATTACAAAAAGATAATTTTATTTTAAAATTAAATTATATTTATAAAAATTTGTAAAAAGTTTATAAAAATTATTAAGACATGACAATATATTGTACTATAATTCCATACAGCACCAAACATTTTTAGAAATGTCTCAGAAATTTTTCAACAGAAAAATGAAACATTTCAATTAAAAATTGCAAAATATGTCTACAACATTTTTAAAACAGCTCTAGATTAGTAAAATGTCCACGATTCTTATATATGAAACCTTATTGGAAGGTTGATAAAATGTTACACAAAGAATCTGCAATCTTTTTGAAATATTATCAAAAAGATTTCAGCGAATTCTTTCTGATTTCAGCTATTTCTAATACTTAAAAAATGATATTTAAATATATATTTGATTGATACTTAAATAATATTTAAATTTATTGTACAAAAATTTAGTCAATGATCCAGCTTACAAAAAGATATAAAAATAAAATAAAATTTATAAACGATACATTTATTAAAAAACTAACATACGTTTCGTAATCACAGATCCTTCTTCAGTATTTACATGTAAAATTTAAATTATGTTAGAATAATATATTTCTGCTTTATATATTTTATATTTTTAATACAAAAGAAATTAAAGAAGGTTAAACCTATGATCACGAAATATATGTTTTTTAATAAATGTATTTATAAAAATTTTTATTTTCATATCTTTTTGTGAGCTCGATTATTGACCAACTTTTTGTATAGTTTTGTTTTGTGTAATACAAGCAAATTCTTATTTTTATTTTAAATTTATTGTGTTGACATAATAAATTTAAACATTATTTAAGTATCAATTAAATATATACAATATTTAAATATCATTTCTGAAATACTAAAATTTATTAAGAAAGAATTTGTGATCTGTTTACAGAGTATAAAACTTGTTGAAATATACTTAAAATATTTCTCAAAAATGGTAATTATATCGCCAATTTTTGATTAATTCACATTGTGAATTAATATGAAAATTATATTTATAAGCACATAAACATAATCACTATTAAAAAATCACTTACACCTGCAGTTTTCATATAAGATCATTATTCATGTACAAAAGGCTTTTCGTAATTAAAGCAGAACAAGTCATTCATATACAAGTCATCAAAAGTTTTTCATGATTAAAATAGAACAACTTATAATAACATCAAAATAACATTAAACTGATCAAAATAACATTAAACTCGTGATTGATCAAAAAATGAAGTTTTTAGTAAACATTTTGGACATCATGATTATTTTTATTCTGTTTAAATATATTTTTCAATTTATTGCATATAGATTTTAGAAACATTTCTGTTAGAACATTTCATATGACATATTGCAGAATCCTTTCAGAATTGTTGCACATGAGATGTGAAAGATTGAAACATTTCTGAAAATTTTTTACAATAATAGGTGCTGTGGGATATATAATAAATATGTATGTAATATCAATAATGTGTGCAATAATGTGTACAAGAAAATAATGCATTCAAGATAATCTTAAATATAAATAATAATTTTATTATATAAAAATATGAAGAAATGAAAAGTTATTTTTTAAATGTAACAGTTACTAGTTACTGATTTTTTTAAAGTAACTTGTTACAATTATCGTTACTTGAAGAAATAACTTTTCGTTTCTTTTTCGTTACTTTTTTAAAATTGACGATCACCAATCACAGCGGACGGACTCCTAGGGACTCTGCCTAGGGATTCTCAAGTATTATGAATGGCTTGTGTCCAATCAAATCGTGTCCAATCAAATCATGTCCAAAATAACGATAAAACTAAAATTCGTTACTGTTATCAAAAA